GGGAAAGATCGACCTGGATCATCAGAACAACATGTATGCTCTTGTCAACACCTGGCTCTCCAGTGACAAGGTGAGCAGTTTTGGTCATCTCCTACCATGGATATTTTTATCTGACCAGCATCGATCTAGAAATGGGAGCAGGAGGTAAAGAAAATGGTGGCCTACCCTTGACCCCTACAATAACCATTGTCTCTTCTGCTTTTAGGTCTCCCATCAGCGACTAGGTGCACAGGTCTGTGGACTCTTTGTTGAGGTGGAGGGGATGCAGTTTGCTCATCGCCTCAGCGCCCTGCTTCCGCTCATCGAGAGAGAGATCAACCCCGACAACTATGAAGACGTGGGTTCCCCATAAACATGCTAAGATAAAGACATAGATGGACGAAATGGCCACCAGGAGTGACTCGGTCCTCCTGAGGTGTTCAGATCCATTCTATTTTTTATGCAGCACCCCTGCTACTACAAACTGATCTGATACCCTACAAATTAATCCAATTGATAAGACAAGATTAAAACGTTGTATGTCCATTGATCGATTGTAGCAAAGCTTATACATCATAAATCAGTGAGTAAACGTGGTGTCCTGGGTGCAGGCTTGTTAGACATGTTGCAGGTTAGAGTAGTAGCCGTATCCATATGTGCACATGGGTGAAAAGGTTGTCTGTATCCATCAGATCGACGAAGAAGCAGACGAGAAGGCTGCTGACAGAATGCTCTTTAGCTTCCTGGTGCTTCTGACGAAGCTCATCAAGGACTGCAACTTCCTTCAACTGCAGGAACCGAGTGAAACCCTCGCTAACGTGTGGAGTAAGACCAGGGGCACATGGCCACCCTTTGCAGTACCTGAACCATGACAAAAATTCGTATTTAACATGAACACAATTTCACGTCAATTTTTAGCATTTAAGCGTTACGGTGGTATGCATTTTGGCTGCTGGTGTAAAGCAGTAGCAAGCGGAGGTGTAACTCGCATTCTTTATGGTATGAGATCGATCCGTGGGCATGATGTTCTCCTGCTTCTCCTTCAGGTCACATTCATGCTCACCTGCGCTACCCTCACTTCTGGGTGTGGCTGACCGCCTCCCAGGTTTTTGGACAACTGTTTGCGGCCCACAAACCCGAGGAGCTGGTCGGCCAGTGGAGAGATCAACAGGACGGAGACCCAGCGACTGGAGCTGTTGCCACAATTTTCCTGGTAACTAACCTCGACAAGAAGGTAAGATACAAGCTGCTTAAAAGTGCTTCACCGGTATTTGCTGCTAAGTGTGTACTGCTGGATTCTCAGGAAAACTATTATTTTTACCATTTCACTAAGTCAAAATAGCACATATCAAATCACCCATGATAAATTGATTTGAGAGATGTTTTGCATGAAATCCCTCCCTGCACTGCTTTTGAAGTGAAAAACAATATACAGTGGTATTAAATAACAGTTTCATATCCTGGCAATTTTTCGGCATCCAAAACTCTGCTCATACAAAACTCTCATTCATATCTGACCTTATCTGAAAGGTTTTGGATGTCAGGGCTCTGAGGCTCCAGCAGTGACCCTTATTCACTTTTTCTCCCTCCCTCCTCTCAGATGAGGGAGTTCGTCCTGTGCTTCTGTCATCAGCTCCAGTCTAAGTTTCTTGATGCGTCAATGGGCGAGCAGGTAGGAAGTCTCCGGCATATCTTTTATCCTGACTGATTCACACAAGGCCTGGGAATGGAATGTTTGGCATCACCCCATGAAAGACAGAGGGTTCTATTACCATAGCAACAATTGCAGGACTCTATTGACCATCAGGACAATCAGACCTTGTTCCGTAATATTGGCATATTTTAAGTAAGATCATTTTTGGTAGAATTAAGGTTTGTGCGTGTCTTTAGAAAAGTTTGTGGATTTAGTGTATGGCTCCTAGATTCGCTCGTTATTATAAAAGTCCACTTCTTTTGTATATGCAGTCTGTTTTAATAGTGAGAATTCATTAATTAATATTAAACAGTACGTGATTGCCTTGTTGGATAGTTTCTTTTTTCTGAAGACTGTTGCACAGTATCATGGAGCTATCAATCTTGCTTTCTGAAAACTAACCAACAATGGAGATCCCACATGCATACCTAAGACATTATATTGACAGACAGGGGCATTGCTAGAGATTTTGGCCCCCATGAAGGCATATCATATTGAGCCCCCCAGTCCAGACCAATCCAGTTATTTTCCAAATTCTCTAGCCTCCGCCCCCCGCCTTACGGCGCCCCTGTCAACAGAAGTCTAGGAACCCGAGGAGGTCACTGGTTCCACAGACATCAAAATACTCATCAGACCAGATTAGAGCCAAATACACAAACACACACACACACACACACACACGCACTGCAGTGGGGATTACATTTCCTAAAACATACAAAGATGTATATTGACTGTTTGTCTCTTGTTAGTGCATTTCATTATTTTCTTATGAATTTCTGTAAGGGTTGGGTTACATTCTACTGAATATCCCCAGATACATAGCTGGTTATGAATGCTATGATTGCGCGGCCTCTCTGGTGTAAGCAGAGGAATTTTAAATGTTATCCATTTTAATTTTCAGTTGATGTATCAGATCTTCTGCATTTCATGTACAATTCAGACCAAAATATGGCCTAATACAGCTACTCTCACAGATATTGATCTCTCCACTTGCCAACGCCGCTTCCTTCTGTTCCAAGGTGATAAAAAATCTGGTGTTCGTGGCAAAGGTGATCTACCTGATCTCGCCTGAGTCTGAGACTGCCAATGGCGAGGGGGATAAAGAGCATGAGGAAGATGAGGAAAAAGAAGATGATGATGAGCTGAAGAAGAAGAGGCCTCCCTCCTTACTGTGGGTGATGAAAAAGCTGTCCGTCTTAGCAAAAAGGGAGGCAGCAGATGCGCCCAAAGTTCCACTGAAGGTGACTGCACTCTTACTCTAAGAAATACACTGCCTGGTGATAACCAGCCAGCCCTTCCTGGTAGACTGGTTTACTGTGAGACTTTTGTTGTGGAATGGTGTGTGTCTGTCTTGGCAGAGAACGTGTGTGTTTAAATTCTTGGGCGCCATGGCGATGGACCTGGGCAAAGAGAGGATCGGGCCGTACCTCACAACCATCATTGCACCGCTCTTCAGAGAGCTGGAGAGTACTTATGCTGAGCAAGGTGGGACATCAGAGGGGTGTCACAAAGGGTTTGCTTAATTAGGCTCGATTGCTGTAGGGTGAAAATTCTAGTCAGAGCTACTGTTGCAAAATGGGAATGTGTATCAAAATTATTTTAAAAACCAATTAGGAAGCTGCTTGTAGAAGCTGCTTGGAGTTATTGTTATTGTATTCTTTCTGGAAGAGAACAGTAAACAGTAAATCCCCAGGATGAGACCAAGACTAGGGTTGGGTATCGTTTGGGGTTTTTTCGATACCGGTGCCAAATCGATACTTTTAAAACGGTGCCTGAACCGATACTTTACAAAAGCCACAAAATGATGGTGGATGACTCAAGAATACATTTTTATTGAATGCTTAAAATTGAACAGTATATTAAAAGTTTGAAGTATATATGAATATATATG